CACACAATTGGGGATCCATCTTTTACGCAAATCAAGAGCAACGAAGATCAACGAAGATCAATCATAGTTTTTCTTATTTAATTTATTTATTTTATTTTATTTATCATAAGAATTACGAGTAGCTAAGTCTTTATTTCTAGGATTTTATTTGGAACCCTATGTGGGATTTATGAACCCAATTCTATGATTTTATGCAAGTTTTAATTCCGGATTATTTCTTCTACTTGTTTTATTAAGTTCATGAAACTGGCCACTTTATGCGCTTTTATGTTATTGTTAATCGCATGAATCGGAAGATCGGGTTAATAATTAGAACTGTGGTAGAAGAGCCTTTGTGGTATTAACATAGGAATATAGTTAATCTCTTAGGTAGCCATTATTGAGATTTGTGCTTAATGTTGTGTTCTAGAATTAATTGCATAGGAATATAGTAATTGAATCTAGAGTATTAGAATCGTAATACACGCGGAAGCGGGTTATGATTATTTTAGCATCTCAGGTTAATAATCCGGGTTAATTGCTTGCATAATTGAAGGAATTGGGGGAGTAATAATCACATAGGGGGAAGAATAAAATCCTAGGCTTGTTTACTCTGATAAATCTTCGTGTTTAATTTGCTTTCTTGCTTTGTCGTTTTAATTTGCTTTTTAATTTAATCTAGTTAATTCTCTCAAAACTCGACTGTGTAGGATGGGCTTGATAATAATTGGTAGAATTTAGCGTCTAGGATTAAGTAATTAAATATTCCTTGTGGGTTCGATATCCGGACTTAATTGTCCACTATATTACTTGTACGATACGTGCACTTGCGTGTAGGTTTTCGACCAACAGTAGTATTATAGGGGGTTTTGCTAACGCACGCCTTTGGAATATGGAATTTTGTGGTCCTTTAATTTTGATCTCATTTACATGCACGCCTCCATTTTTACTTAGCCCTCCCTAATTCAACAACTTGTCTTTGATACTAAAAGGGTATTTATGTAACTTCATCTCATATTGGACTAAATTGATGACATTCTATAATCGTGTCACTGAATAAATCTTTCACAAATAAAACTACAATTAGAACAAGGCAAGTTTAAGAATTATGAATAAACTGAATATTTAAACGTGTGATTCAAAATAAAGTGAATATTTAAACGTGTGATATATGAATAGGTTAGGTTATCTACAAAAAATCAGTAGATCATGAAATATATATATATATATATTTTGGCACATTTGAGTAAATATTACGTAAAATAGAGGGAAATGAACAACCAAGTAATTCATTCCCCAAAGTCAAGAAACGTTAGGCCGTTGTTAAAAAAAATTGCTCACCTATAGTCTAGGCATAAAACGAAACACAAAACAATTGCCTAACAAAATACAAATTAAATAGATTAATATAAAGAATAATTAATAATCTATATGGAAGAAGTTAAGCAATTATAAGTTTAGCACATAAATTTATTTGATGCGTAATAAAGTAATAAACATACATAGATAAAATAGGGATAAATACAAAATATAAGTTGTTTTACGTACAATGTTTTTTTTTTTTTATAAGAGTTTTACTTACAATATTCATATTATCGATCTTAACAACGATACAAATATGATCCCGCTACATATGCCAAATCGTCTTAATACGAGCTTTAAAAACTTGACTAGTTCAAATGTCGAAGTTCAATTTACTCCGACATTCAATTTAATTTATTTAAAAACTTAGTTATGTCGGAGTAAAAAGGAACAAGTTTAATTTTTTATCAGTGCAGTGGTTTATTTGATGCTACATATATCGGGTAATTATTAAACCGTTGATCTGCACATAAACGCACACACATCAATATGTATGTATAGTTAGTGGATTGTTATTTAACCACATCAGCTGTTAAAAATTATCCATTGTATCCAACTTGGTGTAGCATCTCAATTACCGAGTATGTGCAGTTGACTATCTCTACATGCGCATAGAAGTTATAACTAACTTTATTATATTGATCAAAAGGTTCTAACTAACTTTGAGTCGTCTCTAATTTTTTAATTGCAAATGGCAACGTTTAATTTCCATCAATGGCATTAAATAATACTCATTAAAATTAAATATAATAAAATTAATTTAGTACTCATTTAAAAAAAAAAAAAAAGAATTCATCACGTAATTAGAAATAAAATTAAATATTTGCCCCATGCATGAAAAAATAATTCTCCGGATGCCAGCCAGAATTCAAAGTCTGTTAGGATTCCCTTAAGATACGTCGTATGAAGAAACAAAAAATAAAAAAGTAAATGGTATGGGATTTAATAAATTAGGGGCGAAAAGTCGTGCTTTTAATTCGTATTAAATTGCAGCTTAATTCATAAATCGCCTATATAAAGTCGTTATTCGGCTTCTTCAACTCCTATCACATATCCATTTTGTATTACAAAATTAAAAAAAATTAAAAAAAAAATGGCTCCAACCATTACAAAATGGATATTGATAGCCATCTTATCTATCCTTGTTATGAAACCCGGGATAATATTAATCCAGGGCCAACAGCAAGTCCCTTGCTTGTTTTTTTTCGGCGATTCGCAGTTTGATAACGGCAATAATAACCAGCTAATCACAACAGCCAAGGTCAATTATCCGCCTTACGGGATCGATTTTCCGGATGGTCCCACCGGAAGGTTCACTAATGGCAAAAACATAGCCGATTTTCTCGGTACGTCGTACAACGTAACGTAACATTATTTATTTTTATTTTCATTTTTTGAAATTAAGTGAGTATTTATAAAATTATATTTTTGAATATTAATTAATTTGTGATCGAATTTTGCAGCTCAATTCTTGGGTTTTGCTAACCCAATCCCACCATTTACAACTGCAAGAGGCTCCGATGTTCTCAAAGGGGTAAACTACGCATCGGGTGGCGCAGGAATACTCGACGAGTCGGGGATATTATTGGTGATTAATTAATTAATTAATAATCGTAATTAATATTATAATTACAAATATGACATATATATATAACACATGATTTTTTTTTATTTTTTTTTTCTTGTAGGGTGGTCGTATACCATTGAATCAACAGCTGATAAATCATAGAACAACGATTGGTCGTATTAGGCTTTTGCTCATAAGAAATCGAACAATTACGCCCGAAAGTTATCTGAACAAGTGCTTATACGTCGTTAATATGGGCAGTAACGATTACCTCAACAACTATTTCCTTCAGCCGATTTCCCCAAGCCGTATTTTATTCACCCCCGACCGGTTCGCGGCAAACTTGATCCAACGACTCACTCAACAACTAAGGGTATATACGTAATTAATTAACATATATAATCTCTTTCAATCTTTTTTTTTTTATAATTATTATAAGTATGAAATTGGGATAATATATAAACTAGACATTGTACAACTCGGGAGCAAGAAAAGTAGCGGTTTTCGGGCTTGGCTTACTAGGTTGTACTCCGCAAGAGCTGTCGATGTTCCCGGCAAACGCATCGGGGTGCGTCGATTTCATAAACGAAGCAGCGCAGCTGTTCAATAACAGGCTGAAGCCTGTCATAGACGATTTCAACACCAATTCACCTGGTGCGCAGTTTATCTACGTGAACATCACCAGCATTTCATTAGGAGATCCTGCATCCATCGGTACGTATATGATTATTATTTTTCTAGTGCATGCATGCAAACCAATTAACATATATATATATATATATATATATATATATATATATATATATATATATATATATGTATGTTGAATAAAATGAATATATAGGTATAACAGTGGTGAATGCGGCGTGCTGTGTGGTGGAGGCGAGGAGTGGGCAGTGTGTAAGAAACGGAATCCCATGCAGTAACAGAAACGAATATGCTTTTTGGGATAACTTCCATCCAACCGAGCTTTTGAATCTTGTTACTGCTTCTAGATCTTTTAACGTGCTTTTGCCTGAGGATGCATATCCCGTCGATATTCAGCGTCTTGTTCTGCAATAATTAATGTTTTTATTTTTATTTTTAAATCTATATTTCATATTTATGCAAATAAAAGTCAAACCTTCCTTGTTAGTTGGTCAATAAGCTGAGTTGGAAAGCATCAAGAATTTGTCTCTAGTTGTACCTTGAGGTTGAGGGCAATTAATTAATAAAATTTGTTCCGTTGTGTTTATTTATTACGTTTAATTTAAAGGGTTTTTTTTTTTTTTTCTTTTCCTCACTAGATATTGGAATTTTTTTAAATTGAATCCAACGGTCGTCAAATCCACACGATCACTGAAATATAGTTCCGACACATAGGATCAATTGATATAAGTTCGAATCTAACTAATGATTAATCAGTGAATTAAGCTTTAAGTTGATTTCAATCTGATTTGTTTTCTTTTTAGGAAATTATTTATGGATAATGTATATATTAATATGAAGATGATAATTAATCCTAAAGCATTGCAACGTTAACCCAACAATATATTAATGTTCATCCATGCATATTTATCAAGAATTGATAAGAATTGATGCTCGATTAATGTTTTCGAAATTACAAACAAAAGTTTAGTATAAAGGACTAGTTGGTGGTGGTGCGGTGGTGGTGGTGATAGTGCGGTGGTGCCAGCGCGGTGGAAGTCTCGCTGGTCGTCGCGGCGGTCTGGTGGCGGCATTCGTGAGTTTTTTTTTTTTTTTTTTTTTTTTTCTTTTTGGCCTTGAACAAATTAAAAAAATAAAGTTTTTTTGTATTTGGGTATTATTTGTTGATAAGGGCATATTCGTCCTCTTTGATCTTAATGTGATAAAATTAGATTAATTTACGAGCTTGAAATAATAAACCTCTTTCTGTGGGATTGAATTAATAAAAAAATAGAGCTTGTATATATCCGCCCTTTATCATTAATCCTATAAACATGAGATTAATATATATAATAACCCAGATCACTTCATCATCTCTTCAGTCTAATCAAACCAGCTTTTGATCAAGATATCAATCAATCAATAACTAAGAATAATTAATGTATGTGTATATATATAAATACACTGCAAGAACACATTAATTAATTAATACATGCATATCAAACTACACTGATCAATGGGCCGTCACTCTTCTAAGAGTGTATCTGAATTAATTTTCTTATTTTTAGTGCCATCTTTTTTAAGGTTGATTGTCTCAGTTAATGGTGATGAGTCATCGTCATCATTAATTGTGCCTTGCTATTTCATATTCAGAGACTCTCTGGTCGACAACGGAAACAACAATGACCGTAATACCCTCGTTAAAGCCAATTACCCTCCAAACGGTATCGATTTTCCCTCCGGCCCAACCGGCCGCTTCACTAATAGATACTACTCCCTCCGTTTCTTTTTATTTTGATTTTACGAAGAAAATCGCAAAATTATACATTTGCTAATGTTTTTCGTAACACTTGATATGAAATAGAAACGAAGAAAGTATTTTTCAATCAATTTATAATTTCTTGAAATAATACTTCCCTTTTTATTATTTATTTCAAACCGTCTGGAGGAGCCGGAATTCTCGATCAAACCGGAAAGCAATTCGTAGGTATTATATATTTACAGAAAACCCTTTTCTTGCATTTTTTGTTAAAATCTTTGATTTTTGTTTTATCCGATTTATTTCAGGGTTTAAGTATCCATACGTACCATGCTGCGCGGTTTCGAGCGGAGGAATGTGTAATATAATATACAAGGACTAACTTGTAATAACCGAAGCGATTTCGCATACTTTGATGGATTCCATCCCACAGATGCTGCTGCAGTGATTGTGGGGCGACGAGCTTTTCGAGCTGAGTCAGCATCCGATGCGTATCCAATCGACATTCGACAGCTGGCTCACTCACAATAATTATCATTTGCTAGACATAATTCCGATTTGTTCTATATATAATATCGGTAACTACTAGACGAATTTCTTACAAAAGGGTTCGTTGCACATTATTTAGCAAACCTCATAAGCCACCTAAAACATACGTCCGACAACTTTGCACGCAAAAGTCGTCTCGATCGAATACTAAATTAATAGATGAAAGCAGACAAAGAATATCAACAAAACCACTCTGTTTTAACATGCATCAAACATATATAGGAGCAAAGACTTATATAACTCCCAGAAAGACAATAAACACGATTAATAATTAACGAAGAACGACGATCCGTTAAATTTTCTTCTCTAACCACCAAGCTTCCAGCATCAGTTAGATCAGCTGTTGATATAAGAAAAATCAAGAAAATCGTTAGACAGCTGTTTCGATTGATAGTACGTAACTATGAGAGTGAAAAATTCAAATTCTTACACTAGTTGAAGTGGTGGATGGTCCTGCACAGTGTAATCGTGATCGTTCGATTGCAGACCGTTGATTTGGAGATAGTTTCGAGCATCGAAAGGCTGAGGTTGAACGAGGTTAAAGCTGGAACTTCCAGGCATCAAATTCATGTTCTGCTGATGGGCTCTCTCAGTTTCAGCTATCTACAATTATTTAACAGCAAGTGATCGATCATCGTTTTTTGTTCGTTTAATTTATTTTAGCAATTGCGTAATAATTCTTGGACCAAATTAAATAAACGACGTACCTTTGCTCTAAGGTACTGATTGTTGTGATGTAACTCGATCTCCTGCTGTTCAATATCGTTTCACACGAAGAAAGAAACATAATCAGACAGCTGAGAGAATTTTAGTAACATAAGGCCTCGTTTGGTTCCTAACGATTAGCCATAAGTACTTTATGGACCAAATATTAGAGCTATTTTTTTCCACACTATTGTGGGCCATGGCTCGAAAAGTTCATTTAACGAATTAAACATCCAATAAGGTTCAATTATTTAATTAATCACAGGATATACTATTACCAACCAAATGAGGCCTAAGAATACGAAAATTAAGTGAAACGTAGATCATGACTAATGAGTTCATGAGTAGTACTTACTCTCTTTTGCATGTACTCAATTTCAGCAAATAGCAGCTCATTCTGAGTGAGATAGAATCAAGATTCACGTTTACGTCAGAAATCGGAGGTTAAAAATAAATAAATGAAATGGTGTCATATATAACATATATAATAAATAAATGTGGACCTTCTTGGAACGGATTCGGCTAATCCCTCGTTCGACCTTGCTCTCGAGATTCTTGAGATCCCTGAGATTCAAACCACCTAAAGACTCACCTAGCATGTTCCTAAATCAAAATAATAGGGCAAAGTGTCATAATTAACAGATAATTTAATTGCATTTATATATTAACAAAATTCATATGGAATGTGATCATAATCAAACTCCTACCTGTTCTGGTTCTGCAAATTATTGATTTGAGCACGCAGTTTCGATGCTTCTTGCTGGTAGAACTGATGAAATACGGTCGAACAAACGCGACATTAGTTAATGAAATCGAATAAAAAATACTCGCAAGAAACCGATTTTAATTAATACCGAAATTTTTTACTCAGACATTGGTTAAGTTTATATAAATTAATTAAAAGTATAATAAACATATTAATCAAATGTGTATTGATGTAAATCAAATCAAATCAGATTGAACATATATATATATATACCTGAGTGTTAGCTTCAGATATAGAGCCATTGTATATATATATATATATATATATATATATATATACCTGAGTGTTAGCTTCAGATATAGAGCCATTGTTTGGGGAATCTGAGGAAGCTTTCTTGTACCTCTCAATGGTTGCTTTCACACTGTACATTAGCATTAATTCAATGTGATTTTTTAATTTAATTGAATAAACAAAATATTTTTAATATTAATATTCAAATAAAAAAAAATAAAAAACCAGAAACTGAGTAAAATTCACAACACATAACCTCCAAAAAGAATATCTCCAATTTAATTCAGAAATTAAAGAATGAAATTAAGATAAAACCAATGGACAAAAGCCATGGTTGAGTGTTTCTTAAGGTCAGGTTTATTCTGTCAACTCAAAATGTCAATGTGACATGATTTAATTTAGTAAAAAACAATTTAAAAAACAATAAAAAAATAAAAAATGAAACCCTCACTGTGACAACTTCCCTCAAACCTCAGACTGCTGCTACCTTAATTTCGTCGAGGCACTGATTGGCTGCCCTTGCCAAGCTGGCACTAAAGCCTAACATATGATTGGCTCATAAATCTAAGAAGGAAAAAAAAAAAACTTTTGAAACCCCACTCATTCCACCATGGATAATACCCATTAACCACAATCTTGAACCCTAGATAACTGTGTACAAGATACACTGCTAAATAATAAAAAAGAAAATAAAAATCAAATTGAAGAAATTCTACCATTGGAGGGCAGGTCGAGAAACTCAGTGAGTTTTCATTGGTTCACCACTCGCTCTCACTCCTGCTTCTTTTACTCTTTTAGTTTCAACAGTTTCAGAAACTTTGTGAAAGGCTTAAATTTTAGATGACATAAATTTTTAAATTTTTTATTTTTTTCTCCCCATTTCGGAGAAAAAATTAAGCTGAGTTAAGAAACAATACGGTGGCATCATTCATGACAAATCACTTCCTTTTGTCAGAAGTCAAGAGCAAGAAAATCGTGTATGACGTGACCAAAGATTCTTGCCACTCAGAAAAAAACAATTACTCTATAGCTAATTATTAATAAGAAAAAACCATGGTTAAATCCGAATAAGATTAATATTACAAACGCAAACACTGTTAGAGAAATACACACACTATACACACAAAAAGGTGTAATCTTTAGTACAAAAAGGTGTAATCTTTAGTGGGTTAGGGGAACTAGATCTGTACATTTAACAGAGACCCATCAATTTGAAACTTCATTTATGTATTAGTTAGTTCTATTACTGAAACAATATCAAGAAATCTTATCTTATCAACCCAATCTTTGCCCACTTTGAGGTTAAAGATCGTAACTTTACAGGTGTAAAACCCTAATTAGGGTTACTTTTGAGTTGGGATTTGAAAATTTTGATTAATGTTGAGGTTATTACTAGGAGAATTGTAAGAAAACATTTTCTATCGGAAACCCTCGTTTTGTATTTTCAGTTTAGTCAACCCAACAAAGAAGAAAGGAGAAAAGAAAAGGAAAAAAAAAATCCCTAATGCCAAGACTGATTTGATATTAAGGAAGAGATGAATGTACGGATGAATGGACGAATGTAAACTTGACAGGTATCACTGTGTGTGTGTGTGTGTGTGTGTGTGTGTGTGTGTGTGTGTGTGTGTGTGTGTGTGTGTGTGTGAGAGAGAGAGAGAGAGAGAGAGAGAGAGAGAGAGAGAGAGAGAGAGAGAGAGAGATGAAGAAAGAAAAAAACTTGACAAGAAAATGGAGGAAGATGTGAGGCTGATCTCACTGTTTCTTACATAACTTCCCAAATTTCCAACAACTATTTTGCTGCTACTGTTTTTTAACCTTGCACTAGATCTATATTATAAGATTGTTATAATTTATAAATATATAAAAAAAAAAGGAAAAAGAAAGAGGCAAAATCTAGCTATGTCAAGAAAAGCTTAAATCTTGACTGTACAAAAACATGAATATGTCCTTGCCTGAAAATCTTCCCCAAAATCCCACAAACACACAATCTTAATAAAACTATTTAGTACCCCTTTTAGATCGACAAATACAAAATCACAACACAACCACCCTTAGTTAGATCCTTCTCTTCTTCTTCTCCAAAACTCATAATAAACCAAGTTTATTTCAGATCCCACAAGAAAGTCTTTTTTTTTTTTTTTAAATAAAAATAAAAATAAAAATCAGCCCTTTATATATATACATATGATCTATATCATGTGTTGGTTTTCTTGATAAAATTTACTAGATAAAAATTCACCTGTTGTTTGAATACTCGTAGAGGCGGCCTCTGCTAGAGAAGACAATCAAAGCAACCTCAGCATCGCAAAGAACAGATAATTCATAAGCTTTCTTGAGCAGCCCGTTTCGGCGTTTGCAGAAGGTCACCTGCCGATTCGTCGTGTTTTCGATCCGCTTGATCGCAATCTTTCCCCTTCCGTTTTTCCTCTGCGGCGACATCTCTCTCGATTGATCACTTTGGAACTCCATTTTCTTGATTGCCTGTAGTGAATTATTTTGGATGTCAAATGAAGAGCACTAAATTACTTATAGCCAAGAAACAGTTGGAAATAAATATAATGGATATATATATACATATATATATTAATATGTATGTATATATATATATATATATATGGTTCCACTAACCTTGTATGGTAATTAGGGGGGATTTGAAGCTCAAAGTTGTGCTTTTTCTTTTCTTTTTTTTATTTCTTTCACAAATGTGAAAGGGAGAGAAGGAGGAAGCAGTATGGGAAGTGAACTAGGGGTTGTGTGTATATAAAGTAAAAAAATGACATTTGTTTCATAATACAAAGTTAATGTTGGCTATATATATATATATATATATATATATTACTTTATGGCTTTTGTTGTATGTTACATCTCCCGAAAATACGACAACGCACTCTTCTATTCCACCAATTAGGCAACGGAAACCCTTTCGACCGAATGCGTATGCATTAGCTTTTCGTGGTTCGTAGTGAATGAGAACCTACATACAAATCCAATAAATGCAAGAATAACTCACTTTTCAGCCATTCAATTTTTTGGATTAAAAGAACTTTTTTTTTATTCGTTGTTATTTTAAATTTCTCGATTAAAAGAAAATTGTAAATTGCCAAGAAATGCAAATCTTTATTTTTTTCATAGGAGAAGTTACTGCTATTCATTGATGGTAGAGCTTTTGTTAGCAACTTATAGTAATTTTGTTTTTCATGCCAGCAAATACACACACACACACACACACACACACACCCATATGACTTAGTTTAATTTTTTTACCTGTGTTTCTATCATGAGTTGATGTCTTTTCTTATATATATATATATATATATATATATATATATATATATATATATATATATATATATATATATGAGTGAGTTCTCAGATCAACTGCTCACTTTCCTGTATATAGTTCAATCCTCGTCCAATTAACATGGAACTTGTCTTACTATATTAAACCAATTGTCTTGGAAAATAAAAAATGAAGTCTTTCTTCTTTACCCAACAAAGCATTTGCTTAGCATTGCTATGAAAACTCATTGCATGCTACACTACCTAAGTATATATATATATTGGTGATAGTATAGTATTATCACATTCTAATGTATATTTTTGTGATATCTTTTAATTTTTGGTTTTATTTACAAATCGAACCCTTAATTCCAAATGAATTGTAATTTGGAACACAAGTATAGAATTTCTGTGGGATGTTTGCTCTCTTGCCTTGTAAGAATTTGTACAAAAATATTTGAACGGAGCCCAAATTTGAACTTCGGGGGCTGAATGCATTAAGAAAATCCTAGAGGGGGCGTTAGTGCTATTATACAAGATTTTTTTTTTAATATATTTCTATGTAAAATAATAGAGATTTGAGAAATATTGGGGGTCATGGCCCCCAGACCTTTTGCTGGTTCTGCCACTGCACAAGAATGTTATTAAAGCTAAGATAATTATTAGTAATATTCGTTGAAATAATGGAGGTAAATATTAATTATGAACATGATAATGTATATTTAGAAATTAAGATGTTAGCATCCATGTATTTTTCAAACAACTAATTCAGCCCATATCTTGGAGTAGAAAAATTGCCGATTAAGGTGAATACATCATTTAGAAGAACAAATCAACTGGAGTTTGAAGTTTTCTAATTAAGTGTGTTTTCCACGTGGGTGGCTGGCCCACATTTCTTTATGGTTGTCAATTGTCATTTGTAAATTGTTATCCTTAATCATATTTATTAGCTTAAACTTTGTTAATTCGCAATTAAATGTTACTATTCAATAAAAATATATATAATCATATAATGTTGGAATTTCAAAGAACGAGAAAAATAATAACCCCAAAGCTTAATTACACTATATATCTCAAAAAAAAAAAAAAAAAAAAAACTGAAAATGGTGAAATGTCATTTACACCCTTGTGTTAGGTTTTGGTTAATGCACTTTCTGAAGATATGACAATGCACTTGCCATTGAAGCCACAACAAGAAAATCTTCTTTCTATCTAATGTGAGGACCACAGTGATGGATACTACATCTCTAACACACACACACACACACAAATGTGTGTGTGTGTGTACATCATAAACGCAATGAATGATTGGCTTCTACTTTTACCTTTTTCTTTTGGTGTATCTATCTTATATGTATCAGCTGCCAAGAGTGCACATATTTATTACAAGTCACTTGTAAAAAAAAAAAAAAAAAAAAAAAAAAAAAATTAAAATTGAAGTTAGGTTTAAGATGAGATAATATAATGTATCTCTGTACTCAATAATGAGTTGAAGGTGCAAAGAAGAAAACAGGTGTGCTGGCATGGCAGAGTAATTCTTTATTAATTTCGATACAAAAAAGAAAATAAAAAATAAAAAAGAACAAAAAACAAATATTCTCTCAGACAAGGGGGACCATCATCAATATCAAACCTGATGTAAGATATCTATCATCTTTCAAGTTCAAGTTGTATTAGGAACTTAAGTAGTTTAATCCCTGCATAATTATAATGAATTACAATGATTTATAATGCAACCTAGGATTAATGTTTGAGGTGGTATTCAGCTACCTTCTCCCAAGATTTGCAGCTTTTGTCTTCGGTGTCGGTTTTATACAACGCCAGTCGAGATATCTGGAAATTCAAACCGTCAATGCTCTCATCAAGAACGTAAGCTTTGTCTTGAGCTGTTTTCTTCACTTCGTCGGTTAAATCTCCATAGAGTAGGCTCAAGTGCGGCATATACGCTGTACATAATTCGAAGATATCTCAGCACAAGCAAAACAACATTGTAAGAGAAATTCGCATAAACCATTCTTATTTGTGGGTAAATAAACATTCGGAAGTCGACAGGTAGCTTACGAGTTGTACTCTTGTAACCGAAATTATCCCAGCAATGTGCACCGGCTTCCAAAACCTGTTTTAAAAGAGTTACATGACACCAATGTTTTATTACCAAGAGCTATACGTGTAGTTCGTTACGATTAACAAGTTCATTAAAACATTGTAAGCAGAGCACGGTGGAGAATCAAGACTTTCTTATCGTTCGAGTATTATTAGCAAACTATTCAAGCACTAATATCTCGTAAGTTCGCACTTTTTGCCCTCTCGGTAATTAATACATTTCTGTTTCCTTCGAAAAATTCTTCTTAAATTCTCCTTCAAACGGAAATTATCGGAAGGACCTAGAATCGTTTAGCATCGAAGGTAGATTCATTAGCAGTGTTGTTTACCAATTATATTTCATCAGCAAAAACCTAACTGATCATCTTCAATTCAATTTTACAATTCACATTTACTTTGATAAATCATATGTTTTCTACAAAAAAATTACCTGTGAAATTCGAGAACAGCAACAAACAGAACAACATGCATTCAATTGGACTTTCAATTAATTACAAACAAAATAGAATCGAGGAGGTTTAGGTTTCACCTGAGGGGTGGGATGAAGCAGAAGAAGAACGCACTGATAAAAGAAAGTGCCGGTGGCGACTTTCTCCACGGCAGCATTATACGCCTTGAGTCCCTCACACGCGTGGTTGAACTTGTCACGCGCCTCGCTCTCCGTTAGGTTAATAGCCCCGACGACCGTCACGTGCGGCTCGAATTGGGGACCGCCGAACTCCGATCTGAGGCCGTCCATCAACTTCTTCAGCCGCGGCGTCAATTCCTCCGGCGGCAGCGCCCACACCGAATAAACATCTCGCTTGACTTCGCCGGAAGTGATTGTTGCACCGGCGTCCATGGAGAATTCGTATGTAGTATACTGAATATAGAAAGATCAGTAGACTACTCCGTTCGGTGGAATTTGTTTGTTTCTTAATCAATTTTTTTTTTTTTTTTCCGGTTTTGTTATTATAATAATAATAATTTTGGATCGGCCACGTTGCGGAGAATTGGAACCGTCGGATCATGTTCAAATCGACGTATGTGATTATTAGTAAAGAGATCCAAGAGAATAAGGGATATGCTTTAGAGGGTCAAAAAGGGAATTTTATGGCAGTTGACTTTCCAAATTTATTTGTATTCCATCTAGACTCAAAACTTAATTACAGTACAGAATGAGTGGCGGATCCAGGATGAAAATCCAGGGTATGCCGCATAGAAAAAAATAATAATCAAATATTCGAATATTAAATAGTAAAAATATACTAATGTTTTAATTACAACTCAGATTGAAAATTTATTTCTAGTCCAAGTGTAAATCTGTTCTCCTCTTTACTCATGGCTTGAAAAAAAAAAGATTTAGTGTTCTGAATTCTGATTTGGGAGAGGCACGTTTTTGGAGAGAAGGCTAAAACAAAATTTATTGAGGCAAAAAAAAAATGAACTAAAATCTTCTGTCTTTTTGGGGAGAAGGGCTGAAATAAATTAATTGGGGCAAAAAAAGTAAGAGGGGCTGAAGAAAAAAAATTGGGAAAGAGGGGCTGAAACAAAATTAATTGAGGCAAAAAAATGAAATAAATTTTTTCGTGTTTTTAGGGGAGAGGGTCTGAAAAAAAATCAATCGAGGCAAAAAAAAAGGGGAGAGGGGCTGGAAAAAAATAAACTTGGGGAGAGGGTCTGAAAAAAATATCAATTGAGGCAAAAAAAAGGGAGAGGGGCTGAATAAAAAAATAAACTAGTGGAGAGGGGCTGAAAAAAAAACCGGGGGAGAGGGGCTGAATAAAAAATAAACCAGGAGATAGGGGCTGAAGCAAAAAAAAGGGAGAGGGGCTGGAAAAAAAATAAACTTGGGGAGAGGGTCTGAAAAAAATATCAATTGAGGCAAAAAAAAGGGAGAGGGGCTGAATAAAAAATAAACTAGTGGAGAGGGGCTGAATAAAAACTAAACCAGGAGATAGGGGCTGAAAAAAAACTAAACCAAAAGAGAGGAGAGGGATTGAAATATAGTAGTAATCTCTATGCATTCTATAGGACTCGAACACATGACATCCCCACACAAAAACGAACATCCTTACCACTATAGCAACCATAATTTTAGAATTTAGGGTGGTCCATGGCATACTTGCCCACCCCCTAAATCCGCCACTGTACAGAACAGAACGTTAACAAAATAATACATTATAATTACCATGTAATAATACCACAAAAGCATTATTCTACCCGCACCCCCCTGATATACAGACTATCACTGTAAATTGACTGGGCTGCCACGTGTCACCCCCTCGATCAGGGAAAGGCTGCTATTTTCTTCATCTCCGTAGCTTCCACATCAACGGCGAAACCCTTCCCACTCTTCTTCCAGTAATCCGCCTGAGTATTTATCCTCTCCGGCACCGGAATTTCAGCTCGGGAACTTTTGATAGCTTCGGTTGACATGTTGTATTTGTCATCCCTCTTTTTCACCGTCTCAAGCTTCACAATTCCCAACTCCTCCGCTTGTGGTGACATCATCAGCGCCGGCGGACCCATCGGAAGCTTATCACCTAATTTCATTGAATTTATAAACCCTAACTTTTTACACTACTAAAGGATTTCATTTTGTTATAGTAGCATGCTTTTATACCTCTGTCGGTCTGCCACGTGCACCAGAACTTGCCATATGTCTTGGCAAGACTTTCTAGCTCGGGCTTCACCACCATTTCTGGAACCCTAGGATTCACCCATAGCCCTGATTTTATCTGCATCAGAAATACCAGAAATACAACGTGAGTGATTATATTAATGTATGAAAATTAAATTTAATTTCTTCTTCACCTCATGTGCATGTGAGTGCCATAGTTTTTGTTCATCCTGAGGTAAAGTCTCGAAAATCCGATCAGATACGATATACTCAACCCCTGCTCCATTGAAAATATGATTAAAAACACAAAATTGCATAATAAGGCTGAAAAATGAGTAGATTGATTAGGAGGAGGACCGATGAGGCGGCCGGAGGAGTCGTCGGAATCGTAAACGGCGCACTGGAGGAAGTCCTGATTCAGGCGGGTGACGTAATGGTGGGTTTCGATTTGGCGGGTCATGTCGTGGTTGTAGAGAGCGAAAGTGCATACATGTTGGTTCATCTTCTTGATTGGCTTTAAGGACTGCAGCATCTGTGCACCTTTGTCGAGCATGTGCTGTTCCATGCTCATCGGCTTTCCCGGCGGGATCTCTTCTCCGCCGTGCGCCACCGTCTTGCCGTGAGTTGCAGCCATGATTTTCTTCTTTTTTTTTTGTCTGATTTTTTTTCCTTTGTTGTCGACGAAGCTTAGTGCAGAGTCCGGGGGTTGAATAGAGAGGAGCGGAGTTCGGGTGTTGATGCAACGTAGACATGCAGGGTGTCGACGTGGCTGACATTCAATGAGTCTATCGCCACGTGGCAAGATGTGTGATGATTTGTATATGCATATTTCTGGACATGTGTGTGTTAGTGGCAACCACTTTGGCCCAGAAGAACACAAGATTAAATTTTGAACTCGTCATAAATCTTGTCACTGTATTAATGTATTTTTTCTTTAAATAATTAATTGATTTTTATAGTTTTTATGGGCCGAGGTCACAATATCTGTAAAATAGATGTTTTATTGATTTATCATTACAAGGAAAATACATACGTATATTAATCACGAGCTGTTTATCCAAGTAGTAAAAATCAAAGGAAACAAAACATGGATCGATCTAAATAAATAAATAATCAGGGAAAAGGAGCGGTGGATTTCATTTCTGTCTGTTGGAGGTCAACGGCGAAGCCTTTGCCGGTCATCATCCAATAGTCAGCATAACGAGTAGTTGACTCAGGCACGGCGATATCGACCCTCGTTTTACTCAGTTCATCCGATGATATTTTATACTTGTCGTCCCTCTTCCGAACAAGCTCCGGCGCAACCGTGCCCATGTTCACTACTTGTGGTGACGTCATCAGTGCCGGTGCACCCAGTGGCAGCCTATCTCCTGCAATATTAATTCAATTAATATATTAATATGTTAAACTGAAGACTCATTTAGTGTTATTTATTTATTAATTAATTAATTAATCATAATTACCTCTATCAACTTGCCACGTGCACCAAAATTTGCCGTACGTTTTAGCCAAGTCTCGGATTTCTGGCTTCTGAATCATCTCCGGAACTCCAGGGTTAACCCACAACCCTGACGTAATCTGCACCATATTTGGATTTAATTACAAAACCGATCCCTAATTAACTAAGTAATTACTATTGATATGTAATTAACTAATTAATATAATACAAAAAAATGCACCTCGTGACCGTGAGAGTGCCACAGCTTCTGTTCCTCCGGCGGAAGGGTGTCAAAAATCCGTTCCGATACCATGTACTCCACGCCTGCACGTGGAAGCTCAATAAATTAATACTCGATAAATTAATATTCGCTTGAATAATAATTTATCCCGATCCCAGCTCGGTGAAAACGTATTAAATTATTAATTTGACAATTTCATGATTCGCTAAATTAATAAAATTTTGCTGATTATTAACTGCATTAATTAATTTATACAGATTTAACAGTATTAATTTCCAAATGATGAAAAGATATACACACAAAAATTAAAAGTAATAATGAATAAATAAAAAATAGAAATCAGTAATTAATTAATTCGTGATTTATTATTTATAGTTTATAGAGTACCGATGAGGCGGGCGGAGGAGTCGTCGGAGTCATAAACGGCGGACTGGAGGAAGTCCTGGTTGAGTCGGGTGACGTAGTGGTGAGTCTCGATCTGGCGAGTCATATCGTGGCTGTAAATGGAGAAGGTGCAAACGTGTGC